ATCACAACAAATCTCACCACCTCCCTCAACAACCACTGCCAGATTTCCAGCTGCTCCTGCACCGCTTCTTATTCAGATTTTTCACCTTTTGCCAATAGTCCTTGCATGATTTTGACCTTTTTTTTTCCGTTTTTGTGAAGTTTTTTTCTCCTCTCGTCCTACCCAGTGATGTCATCTCTGTTGAGGGAGGAGATGCAGAGAGTTTTGTTCCGACCGGCAAAACATAGACTGGTGGAGTTTATAGAGATCGAGGAGCCAACATGTGGAAGACATTTTCTGTGTGTCTCAGGTAAAAAAACAACTTTTTTTTGCTCAATTTCATGCTGGAAGTGAAACGCCTAGCATCAGTGACATGTTCAAGAGTGTTTTACTTTCTATATTGCAGTTGGAAAGGGAAATCTAGTGGAGTTATGGGTAGTGCAATGTCAGGTATCTCAGAAGACCCTAAAATCTGGACCCAAGGGGTCCAGCACTGAGAGATCCAGCATTCAGGACTGCTACACAAAGACGGAGATCTGGTCCCTGGAAGACCTGACTCTTGTTGATGGACGCAACCCTGATGTGGTAATGTGACAGCAAACTCCCTTATTTTGTATTGTTCAGATGACTGAGAATATCAGCTGTACTGTTTATGTATCTTGAAATCAAGGAAGTTATGAAATTAATTTGATTTATTTAACAGAAACAAGTCAAATGAAAGGATCTTTCCTGACTGACTTACGTAATTTATTTAAGGATATCAAATTCTAATTTTGATGCAGCTATACACATTGCAGCCGCTTTTCCTATGTTTTAGCATAGCTTTTTCTTTTAATAAGATCACCCATCTCTTTGAAATCGGACAATATTTTCAGAAGAATCTGTGTCCATTCTATCCTCCTCATCTTAGTGCACCATGCATTTTCAACAGGAGACTAAAGGCAGGCCAGCAATGGGCACACACCCTTTTGTCAGTGAAGAATTGCAGAATGCAAAAATGATCATTTTCTTCCCAGGAAAAGTTTTGTTTTATGGTACCACACAGAGATTCCAATAAACACCTTTACATTCATGGTACATAACACACACCCCATAAACCCTAAACTCTGGTGCTGATGACCCTCCGTGCCTGCACATTTCCTTGCTCGTTTAACTTTTCCTGAATAAAAATTAGATGTTTTTTTTCATCTTTTGAAACATAGGCCACAAATAACTTTCCCCCCTTGAAATCAGCTGAAATGTGGACTCATCTAACCACAGAACATGTATCCACTGTGACTAGACTGACCATGATGACAGGGCAGTTTCTCTTGCAGTTCTTGTTTTCTTGACCTTTATGCACTCTTACACGCCCTGATTCATTTTTACACTAGATACTGTACATATTGGAAGACTATATTTCTTTGGAACATTTTAAATTTCATGTTTATTTGGAACTTACTCATGATTCTCGGACGGTGTTTGGCACCAGCCATGGAAAAACTGTATGAAAAGACTTATTCATCACTCTGAGATTCTTTTATAAGTAATCCTGACACCCACACCTGACTTCAGGATCAGATCAACTGGTAGATGTTTATTCTAGAACCTTTCTCATTTTCACTGTGTCTCTTATGGTTTTTGTGTGTTTCTTTGTTTGCTCTGGTTTATATTTTCTAAATACAGTGAATCTGGTAAATTAAGAGTCTGAAAAACACAGTCAATTTAAGGATTTAATAAACATTATATTAAAAACATTAAAAACATTATGTATTCAAACTTGTACTGGTGAAAATGTCCAAACCTTTCCGTAAATGATGTCTGTATTTGGATTTTTTTAAACTTAAAGATAAAAAAGGCATGGAATGTTCAAATCCAATATAATAGTTATGTTGTAATGCCTTCCTCACTTTTTTTTTTTTTTTTGCTTTGTGATGAAGCCAATCCACTTGCCATCTTTAGCTGGTATAGCTTAGTGGTTGAGCATTTGACTGCAGATCTCCGGTTCAAATCTGAATATCCCCTGCATTGTCCTACTTTATAAGTCCCTTTGGATAAAAGCGTCTGCTAAATGCATAAACATAAATCTCTGACACTGTAATATAGTCAGGGTGATAAACGAGCAACAACCATTTGAATGTAGAAAATGTGACTAGAAAATGTCATGCTGACACATTTTTGGGGTGAAACTATCCTTTTGATCAGTTTCAGAGGTGCCTCAGGGAACATTTTTTAAAGTTACATCAGTTACCCCTTTGCCTTGTGCAATCAACTCATTTACCTCCGTGAACTAAAGTGCTTATCAAACCACCTGTTAGAAATACAATTTAAAATAATTCCCCCCAAAACTAATTAAATTCAAACCTGCTAGAGTCCAATTCATTGTAATCCAATCATAACACAACCATTTTCAGTTAGTCAAATTCTAAATTAGTCCGGTTCATGCAGTTAAAGAAAAGTTACAAGTTAAAAAGATGTTTCCAAGTTAAGGAAACCAGATTATTGCACCGAATCTCTAGGTTGATCCAATTCCACATCCTGAGCTAATAAGGCATCCACAGGAGTGTAATGATGAGCTTCTTAGGAATACTTTCTGAACCAGATGTTAATACCACTAATAATTTCACATGTCCATGGGGAAAAAGGAGAACATACTCAGGAAAGGTGCATCATGGGAGTTCTCCCAGTACTCCAGTCCTAAAGCAGCCTAACTATGGGATGTTCAGTGTCACCTGAGCCATCCATGACTAAGAGTGTTTGTCAAAAAGTATTAATCTTAAAAGTAAAACGGTTGGCTGCTTACTGAATGTATAAAGGCAGCTGGTTCCATGAGAGAGGAGCCTGCAAACTAAAGGCTCTGCCTCCCATTGTACTTTTTAAAACCCCAGGAACCAGTAGATCTGCATTCTGAGAGTTGATTGTACAGTGGTCATTGGTCTCCAAGATATAATGCTGCGTGTTTTATGTGTGAGGAGCAGAATTTTAGATGTTCTTATATAAATCTATAATTGTTATGGGGTTGCACATAGCTGTGGCCTCAGACTTGCTTTGGATGAAACGTTTATGTGAGCAGTCTTTGAATCTACTATATCCCACGTGGGCTTTGACCTGGATCTCCTATCAATTTAAGTACCCCAGGTGTTTCAGGACGTTTGCAGTCCTCAGTAAAGGCCTTTTAGCAACCTTTTCCCCTTTAAACCTTCCTCATTGTGATCATTGTGGAGATTTCTCAAACTCTGATATAGAATCAATCATTTCTAAAGATTAGCAGTGGTCTTCCTGGTGTCTTTACTCCTTCAAATCCCACTGTTTGAATCTTCTCAATCGTTTATCTCAGGAGTGCGAGTAAATAAATACAATTTGACACCTTCATGAATAAATGATAATGTTCTTTACTATTTTTTCTTTATTTAAATACAAAACAGTGTGTTTTGTTCAGTCACAAAAATGAGAATTTAGAGTTAAAAATATTATTTTGGTTGAATATTTTCACATAGTGATGTATTAACCATTGTAGATAAACAAAATAATTATTTGGGTAACTACCAGTGCTGTTCATTTGGGGCTGCTTTGGCATAAACCTCCCATTGGGCGGTGGTGGTCTGATGGGTTTGTTCAGCACTGTAACTTCAGGTGACTGAGCTGATGATAAAGCAAAGTCTCATTTATTCCTCTCCACAGGATGACGCCTGCTTCCTGCTGCACTTCGACAAGGTGCGCTCAGTGACAGCCGTAACCTGCTCAGCCAAATACACCTTAGTGCGCGCCCTGGTCGCCCTTAGCGAGAAGCACTGCCAGCGCCCTCTGAATCTGAAGAACTTTGACTGTGCTTACATCAAGCCCTCCACCTTCTACTCCGACAAAGGGGATTGTGCTGTTATGTCCCAGATATGTTTCTATGCCCTCAATCTGGTTTGCTTGTCCTTGTGTCAGGTGCCCCTGGAGGGGTAATGGCAACAGTTTCATGTGCCTGCCTTCATGTCTCAGGTGTGTATCCTCATACTAATGGTGCTATTGTATTGTGTTGTACTTGGGTCAAGTGGAATTTCTGAGTAGCATTATAAGTTGTAAATCCATCTTAATGGTAATTACAATGTTTATACTGCTTCGTGTGACTTTATTTTATGTGTTTATGATATTTGAAATGCTTATACAGTATTCACTTGCCTGTGTCACACAGAAGTTTTTTCTCTTTTCTCCACTATAAACTCAGAATTTTGTGATTTTGATTTAGCATCTGTATATATCTATGCCTGGCTGTTGTTAACCTGAAAATCTAAAATTAAAACCACATTTGCAGATGATTGTTCTTCTAGCATTGAACAGGGATAGCATCCTGATATTACATTTCATGCTAAATTAAGTGTTTACCTTAAATTGTAAAAAATATAACAGATGAGCTGTTACAATGACATGTGATAAGAGAAAAAAGCGTGGATAATTCTGGAATTCCTCTCGGGTTCTTGAACTCACCACCATTGAATAAAATCTATCTTCTCAGTCATTTCCATCATGTGAATTCTGGCAATTTTTCATGTTTTCAGATTTACCATAGATTGTACTTTCAATTCAAATCAATAAACATATTGTTATATATATGTAACGGGTTTAATTATTAACACTCCTAGGTATAGCTAACAAGGCCCATGGGCATTTTTATGCTAAAACCTCAGTCTGTGTTCTACTGAATACATTTGACCTACAGTGTGGAGAACCTACAGTGTTGTTTGTCATATTTCTTTCTACATATCCACTTGCAGTTCACTCTTACGCCAACAGATAGCGCCAATTAACATTTTTACAAGCGATGGTCAGAGGCATTTTAGTAGACTTAGAATCTGCCTGATGAAAATGGGCAAATATATTTTTCAAGGATAATAGTACATCATCTGTATATTTTTTTATTCATAAAATTTGAATCAGTCAGATAGACCCAATTTAGGCCATTCGCAACAAATCCTTTGGCAATATTTACTTTTAGTTCCAATATATCTCCGGCGCAGAAAAGACCAACTACCGGCTGCCTGCTTCCTCAATGCCGCCAAAATTCAAGCAGGACGCAGTTGTCGGGTTGTCTGTTGTAAACACAGGTCTGGAACCGTGTTTTTTTTACCTACTGGTTCGTCGCTGGTGCAAATCTTACCTCCGGAATCTGCGGAGAAAGAATTTAACTAGAGATGCACATCAAGTCTATTATCATCGAAGGATTCAAATCCTACGCACAGAGGACCGAGATCAACGGCTTTGACCCGCTATTCAACGCCATCACTGGATTGAACGGCAGCGGCAAGTCCAATATTTTGGACTCCATATGCTTTCTTTTGGGCATTTCTAACCTATCCCATGTAAGATGGCTACAATTATTCTTCACGGTCGTTTTAACCTGTTCCATTCTGTTATTATATATTAAGAGTGATGTCGTATGGTTCTATAAGAAGCGTGTGTTTGGTTTCACTTCACGTTCAAGGTGCGAGCCTCCAACCTCCAGGATTTGGTTTATAAGAATGGGCAAGGTGGCATCACAAAGGCCACTGTCTCTATTACTTTTGACAACTCAAACAAAAGCCAGAGTCCTCTGGGGTTCGAAACCCACGACGAGATCACTGTTACCAGACAGGTAAGGAAAATAAACCGTTTTTACGCATTTGAGAGTGGTTTAGGATGCTACTCTGCAATCATCATGTCAAGCTGCATGTTTTTATCCCGTATTTTAGGTGGTAATAGGTGGCAGGAACAAGTATCTCATCAATGGAGTCAATGCCAACAACACACGGGTGCAGGATTTGTTCTGTTCTGTTGGCCTCAATGTCAACAACCCACACTTCCTCATCATGCAGGTCAGCCTTTCACCATCAGTCTAATTGTGTTTTCAGCTTTTTGGCTGTCTTTTCAACTTTTCCTCCTACAAATATGCAGGCTAAATATCTTGTTTGTGTTTGCCCTGCTTTAGGGAAGAATCACCAAGGTTCTGAACATGAAACCACCAGAGGTAAAAAAAACAAAACAAACACAGATCACTAATAAAACCTAGTCAAGGGGTGTGGGGCGGGATTAAGAGCACCCGCTTTTTCTTCCAGATCCTTGCCATGATTGAGGAGGCTGCAGGGACCAGAATGTATGAATGTAAAAAGATAAGTGCCCAGAAGACAATTGAGAAGAAAGAAGCCAAGCTGAAGGAGATTCAGACTGTATGTGTGTCACAGAGTTTACTTTTATTTTTTGTCTTCAGAAGGGCGATGACAGCAAACAATGTCCTGTGTTTTTCCCCATTTTGCTTTTCTTTGTACACAGATTTTGGATGAGGAAATCACTCCAACTATGCAGAAACTGCAAGAGGTACGTGTGATACAGAGGCCTTAACACCTGCAGAGGTGTGAGATCATTAAGCGCCACCTTTCCTACACCGGTTTCTACATGAGGTTGATCTACATTTGACCCTTCTTTGGTGCGCAGGAACGATCCTCGTACCTGGAGTACCAGAAGCTGATGCGCGAGATCCAGCACCTGTCGCGCCTGTATGTGGCCTGGCTCTTTGTGTGCGCCGAGGAGACCAAGGCCAAGTCGGCAGGGAACCTGAAGGTGATGCAGGACAACATCTGCAAGATGCAGGCCGGCATGGCCGAGAATGAGAGCAGAATCGAGGAGCTCTCGGCCCAGATCCAGGAGCTCCAGAAGAAGAAAGATCAGGTGGGTGGTCGCTTTTAAAACTATTCTGTGTAGAGTTGTTTCCTTTCGTCTGTCCACTTATCATCTTTCACCTTGAATTTTCGGAACATTTGTTTCTATTTTAACCTGCGTTCTGTGCAGAGAATGGACTTTGAGCCCCAACAGATTGTCTCTGATTTTGTTCTGCTCCTTTTTAAGGAGGTGAATGGAGTGTTAAAGACCATGGAGGACACCTTAGCTGATGTACAGCGCGTGGACACCAAAGCTCAGAGCGCGCTCGACTTGAAGAAGCAGAATCTCAAAGAGGAAACCAAAAAGAGAAAGGAGCTTGTCAAGAGCATGGAGGAGGTAAATTTTATTTCTTTGCCAGCATGTAAAGAAGGCGAACGGCGCTGAGTTCTTGCCCAAATGAGTGTTTTTTGTTTGTTTGTTCGTCCGTTAGGATAAGAAGATGCTCGTAGTGAAGGAGCAGGAGGTGTCCAAGTTGGCCGAGCAGCTTCAGACCGTTCAGGAGGAGGGGCAGAAGGACAGCGCCGCTCTGGAGGCCGCCGAGCAGCATTTTAAAGCCGTGTCCGCAGGGCTGTCCACCAACGAGGACGGAGAGGAGGCGACCATCGCCGGACAGATGATGGCCTGCAAGAACGACATGAGCAAAGCCGACACCGAGGCCAAGCAGGCAAGCAGCGGCCTCTCGCCTTTCCTGCTAACACCCCGAATCTTTGCCAACAGCGGTTTACACCCCCCCTCGTCCTCTCTCCAGGCACAAATGACTCTGAAGCACGCCCAAGCCGAGCTGAAGACCAAACAGGCTGAGGTCAAGAAGATGGACAGCGGCTACAAAAGAGACCAGGACAGCCTGCAGGCCGTCAGAAGCAGCAAAGAGAAACTACAGGCCGACCTAAACAAGCTCAACTATGAAGGTAACGCGTGTGTGTTGCTTTTACATCCAAGAATCTTAAAACATTCCCACCACCGTGCTCCTGTGTTTGTCCCGGCACAGATGGGAAGGAAGAAAGTTTGCTGGAAAGAAGACGGCAGCTCTCCAGAGAGGCGGCTCAACTCAAAGCGACCCACGAGCGTCTCATGTCGCGTTTCCCCAACCTGCGCTTTGACTACAAGTAAGGACTCGTTCAACACGACGCCTGCTCTTTTATTTATTTCAGCAAGAAATCCTTTTCGTTCTTTTATTATTACTGGAGCTTTTTTTCTTTGGTGGGAGTTTTTTCCGGGCCGGGCCGAACCTTTGACGTGAAACCCGTCTCCCTCCTCTTCAGGGACCCGGAGCGAGGATGGGAGCGCAGCAAAGTGAAGGGGCTGCTGGCGAACCTGATCACGGTCAGCGACGTCTCCTACGCCACGGCGCTGGAGGTGGTGGCCGGCGGGCGGCTCTACAACATCGTGGTGGACACAGAGGTGTGTGTGTGTGAAGGAGCGGCGGTGGAGCAGCTGGTGGGGGGAGATGGCACGTTTAACCCGAAGGGTGTGGATTCTGTCTTCAAAGGTGACCGGTAAGAAGCTGCTGGAGAAGGGAGAGCTGCAGCGAAGGTACACCATCATTCCCCTGAACAAGATCTCCGCCAAGACGCTGAATGACAGAGTGGTCAACGTCGCCAAGAACCTGGTGAGGGCGCAATCGGAGCAGTGCGGGATTCAAACAAAAAAAAAAACCCAAAACAAAAGACTCCTCTCTCGCCTTCTTCACCCCTCTTTCCCTCCCCTTTGGCTCCATCAGGTTGGTCAGAACAACGCTCACACGGCCCTGTCCCTGGTGGGCTACGAGGCCGACCTGCGTAAGGCCATGGAGTACGTGTTCGGCTCCACGCTGGTGTGCGACACCCTGGACAACGCCAAGAGGGTGGCTTTCGATAAGCAGGTGATGACCAAAACGGTCACCCTGGGAGGGGACATCTTCGACCCGCAGGGAACTCTGAGCGGAGGTGAGTGTCGGAACACTGCAAAAGTTCGATTCTTTTTTTCTTTTAAGCTTTCCGCTGGTTTTTTAAGCAGCCCCCCCCTCTAACCCCGCGTTCCCCATTCAGGTGCCCGCTCTCAGTCGGCGTCGGTCCTGTCCAGCCTGCAGGAGGTGAAGGACGTCCGGGACCAGCTGAACGAGAAGGAGGCCCAGCTGCTGGACACCGAGCGGCAGCTGGCCGGCCTCAAGGGAACCGCCGAGAAGTACGCAAATGCGCTTTATCTGCACTTATCCGACAGGCGGGGACATAAACAAGCCTTCATGGTGCATTCACAAGTCATTTAAGGTGGATTGGAATAAGCCTTTATGACGACAGGTGAAAGAAGACTACTCGCCCTTTTCCAGCCCCATGACCCGGAGGGACTGAAAATCTACACCACATAACTTAAAACTAAATAAATTAATAAAAAGACGTTGGAAAAGTTAAAAGATAAACAGAACAAAAACGGTGAAAAATCTTTATTTTAAGGCATCTTGGTGCGTTATTTACTGGGAGAATTAGAGAAAAGGGGGAGGGAGACACGCAAACATGAAATAATCTGGCTCAAAAAGACGAACGATCAAACATGAGAGGGAGAGTAACGACCAGCTAAAGGGCTAGGAAGCTTACCAAAGGCATTATGGTAGTAAGTTAAAGAGTAGGTCACTAACTCTGGGAGGGGGGCTGGAAACAAACAAACCCCTGTGTGTCCTCTTCCACCTGCAGGTACCGGCAGCTGAAGCAGCAGTTGGAGCTGAAGGTGGAGGAGGAGCAGATTCTGCTGGCCAAGGTGCAGCAGAGCTCCTTCCACCAGCAGCAGGAGGAGCTGGAGCGGCTGCGAAAGGCCATCGGTCAGTGGATGCTCCGGACGCTCTCCTAGCGCTCCATCTTAAACCCCCGCCCTTATCGTCTTCGTGCTCCCTCGTTTCCCCAGAGGAGAGCGAGGAGACCCTGCGCGTCACAAAGGAGGTGCAGAAGCGCGCCGAGGAGAAATACAGGGTGCTGGAGAACAAAATGAAGAACGCCGAGGCGGAGAGGGAAAAGGAGCTGAAGGCCGCCCAGCAGAAGCTCAACGCGGCCAAGACCAAAGCCGACGCCTTCAACAAGAAGCTGAAGCAGAAGCAGCAGGTACGCCGACCACCACTCCCCAACCCCCCGCCCGTGTCATTTATTCATTTATTTATTTTAGTATCTGAACGTTCTTTTGGTCTCCAGGAGTCGGACGCCGTGGCCCTGGAGCTGGAGGAGCTGCGGAGGGAGCAGGCCAGCTACGAGCAGCAGGTCCAGGCTGTGGACGAGGCCATGAAGGCCATCCAGGAGCAGATTGACAGCATGGCCTGCACCGTGTCCCAGAACAAGGTGCCGGCTTTTGTTTTTGTTTTTTTAATGTTCGCAGCAGTGGAACAAAGTTGTTTGGAACAAGCGTTTTTTTAGACTCCATCCACGCTGTACTAAGGGAAGGGTAAAGCTTGGGGTTAATACCCCGAATAGGCTTGTCCTGATCAGATATTTGGATCGGATCGGCTGCCAATATTTGCAAAATGCGTATCGGCCGGCATTAGAAAATGCCGATCCAGACTCCCGATCCAGTTTTTTTTTTTAAGTCAGATCCGTGCGAGAGTTAAAATAATCCATTACTGATGCTGAGTTAATAGACTATTTTCTATTCAGGGTGTTTGTGTGTTTGCCTTTTTAATACAGTTTACAATATTATTTGCACTTTTTCCTGTTCACTGATGCCATTTCCTTTTGTTTTTGATAATTTTGACAATTTTGTGTTTTCCCCTGAGTAAACAGGTCAGTGTCTCTTTACCAACCATTGTGTATTATTCAAACTCGCCTAATTCAGCTGGCTAGTTGTTAGAAGAGTAAATCCCTTTTCAACATGAGTCTGAAAACTAAGTAAGTAGGCTAAATTACTTTAAACTTGAATACATGCTCTGATAGGCTGGTATCTCTATGGGATCGGAAGTGCAAAAAGCTGGATCGGGACATTCCTAACCCTGAGTTCTGGGGGCGTTTGTCTGAAAAAATGAGCAAGGACTGTTGTCTTAGTCGTGATTTCAACGGCGGGAGAACGGTGCACGACAATATCCAGATTTTGTATCGGATCCACCCGATGCTTCACATTTCCAGGCAATCCGATTGGCCCACCAAGCAGAAAACCTCCATATTTCTGCATCCTCTCCTCAAAATGCCTCCAGTTCACATTTTTTTTCTCTTAGCCTAATCAACCCAAAGCAAAGGCACTTCATTCAGTGTCTGTAAATGTTACCTTTCTTTGGTCTTGCTTTAATTGTTTGTGCTTAACCGTCTCACGTATCGTCCTGTTCTGGATCGCAGGAGGCCGTGCGGAAAGCGCAGGAAGAGCTGGCCCGGCAGAAGGAAGTGATCATGGCACAGGACAAAGAGCTGAGGGTGAGGACGGTTGCACGTCTGCTCCGGGTCGGTGCTTCCACCGACAAGTGGTTGAAACGTCTCGTCTTTCTGAACGCCCCCAGGGGAAGAGCAGCGAGGTCAACAAGATCAGGGAGCAGAACAATGAAGTCCAGCTCAAGATCAAGGAGCTGGAGCACAACATCAACAAGCACCACAAAGAAAGCCAGGACGCCGCCGACAAGGTAAAAACCGCCCTCCGGTTGGAACCTTCCGGAGAAGCCGAAACCAGACCGCCTGAAGTCATCTGAGCTGTTTTCCGTGTTTTTCCCTCCCAGGTGACGCGGATGCTGGAGGAGCACGACTGGATCCAGTCGGAGCGCCAGTACTTCGGCCAGCCGAACACCTCCTACGACTTCAAGATCAACAACCCCCGCGAGGCCGGCCAGCGGCTGAAGAAGCTGGAGGAGACCACCAGCAAGCTGGAGAGGAACGTCAACAAGAGGGCCATGAACATGCTGAACGAGGCCGAGGAGAGGGTGAGGAGCTGGGAGGGGGGGGGGCAGGGGTAGGGGGGGCGAGCCCCGCAGGTCAGGTCAGGTCAGGTCACTCACCAAGCCTTCTGCCCCCCCGCAGTATAACGACCTGATGAAGAAGAAGAGAATCGTGGAGAACGACAAAGCAAAGATCCTGCAGACCATCGAGGAGCTGGACCAGAAGAAGAACGAGGCTCTCAACGTGGCCTGGCAGAAGGTTTGTCCTGCTTTTTATTTTCTTTTTTTTTGCGTCATTTCATTCCATCCGGTTGACCGTTTTGATGGTACAGAAGCGGGTTGCATTCACTGAAAAAAACAAAATAAAATTAGGCACCTTATCTCATAATTTTGAGAATAAATCTGCTAAATACGAGGTCCTGAACATGTAATCATGAGATCTTTTCTCGTAATTACGACACGGTAGCATAACAACAACCCAATCGTGCATGTCAGCTTCTCTGTTGCCACAGTAACGACGACACATGACAAAAAAATGTAACAAAGACACAGTCGTAAATAAACGTCATAAATCAATTTTTTTGTTTAACCATATGAATATGCATATGCATATGAATGAATCTCTTCCTGGATGATTCTGAGTGAAGCGGTGTTCACTACGGCGCCTTTCCTGATATCGTAATTACGTGTAAAATGTGTAATTTATTTATTTTCCAGTGAATGCAATGCGCTTCCATATGATGCCGTGTACAAATTGAGAAATATTTGTCACTGAAAGTTTAAAAAAGTAAAAAGATTAAACAAAACACTTTTTTTCTTCGTTCCCCGCCCCACCTTATCAAAAATCTGGTCTGCCTCAATTTAAAACCGGCCTTCCTCCGCAGGTCAACAAGGACTTTGGCTCCATTTTCTCCACTCTGCTGCCCGGAGCCACAGCGAAGCTGGCCCCCCCGCAGGGCTGCGGCGTCCTGGACGGCCTGCAGTTCAGGGTGGCCCTGGGCGACACCTGGAAGGAGAACCTCACCGAGCTGAGCGGCGGGCAGAGGTGGGCGGCGCGGTCTGGGCGGGAGGCCTGAGCGTCGCCCACGGCGACCACGTCTCACGCGGCTTTTTGAGCCCTGCCCACGTCTGATTTCAGGTCGCTGGTGGCCCTGTCGCTCATCCTGGCCATGCTGCTCTTCAAGCCCGCCCCCATCTACATCCTGGACGAGGTGGACGCCGCCCTGGACCTCTCGCACACGCAGAACATCGGGCAGATGCTGCGGACACATTTCAGGCACTCCCAGGTACCTTTAGACCCGAACGAGCCTGATTTTAGTCCAAAAGAGGGCTGCTGGTCACACTTTGTCCAAATCTTGACACTTTTTGGTTTAAAAAAGAAAAACTCAACTCAGAAACACCAGCTTCCTTCTGTTATCAGTAGCTTGTTGCTGTAATCACATTGATCTGTTTCAGAATAAGGACTGACCCATTCACCTTTCTAATGGAACCAGCACCAGGCCCAAACTTGTTTTTCTAATATAAACCAATTACCTGCCCCAAGTGTTGACGTAAAGAGGCTGTTTTTCCCGTTCTTTTCCACTCTCCCTCCCTCCAGTTTGGCATGTTGTCCCCCAAAGACAGCATGTTCTCAAATGTCCCCAAACCTGTTCTCTTTTATTACTTAAATAACCTTATGAAATGACATGGCTCTACAGCTCACACTCAAACACAGCAGCCAGGCTCAGACTACTAGTATTTTTTAAATTTATTTATGGTATTTATTTATTTTTAACTGACCCAAGCTGTTAAATCCTCACTGTAGGTCTCCCTAAAAACAGCCAGTTATTCGTTCTTCTGATATAAACCGTCTACCTGTCCCAATTGTTGATGTAAAGAGGCTGTTTTTCCTCGTTCTTTTCCTCTCTCCCTCCAGTTCGTGGTGGTGTCTCTCAAGGACGGCATGTTCACCAACGCCAACGTCCTGTTTAAGACCAAGTTTGTGGACGGCATGTCAACGGTGACGCGGACGGCGCTCAGCCAGAGCGAGGGCGCCGCCCCCCTGAAAGGCCACGATAAAGCCCGTCAGAAAGACAAGAGGAACAAGCAGCTCATCGGCTGATTCGCCCCTTTGTCTTCAGGCCCCTCAGTTATCGGAGGAAAACGAATGCTAATCACCTACTTCCTTTCTGCGGGTAGTCTCATCTTTTTAATATTTTTGTCCACTTGTCTTTTTGTTCAGCTGTATTTTCATCTTTAAGATGCAATTTCTGAATCCTTCCTTTACTTTTTTTGTAAATAAAACATGTCACTTTTTTTCTACCGTCTCATTCATTCTGGTGATTTGTGTGATAAATAAGGAAGATGTCTCAGAAAAGAAAACCAAAACCAAACGTTGTCCAAATTACCAATACTTTTATTTAATCAAGGACCAATTGGCAACAGCTGCAGCATCACGTTAGAGCCGACGTCTTTTCTGACTGGTCGTCGCCGTGGCGCCGTGGTTCTGGCTTTGTGCTCGTCCTTTTCCCCGGCAGCTCAGAGAAATAACCTGCTGTTTTAATATCGAATAAGTAAGCAAATCCACAACAGTAGTAAACACGCCCCCCCCCCCCCCCCCCCCCCACGCCACCCCCCCCCCCCCCCAATTTCGGGGGCTACATGTACATTGCTTTAGATGGCGTTAATTTTCAAATTAAACTGTCCATTAAAATGAACCAAGAAGAAAAAAAAAAAACAGAAAAAAAACTACACCTTTCTGTGACCGCCTCGCCCCCACGGCGTGGTCAGGGGGAGGAGTTCAGAACCACAAATGCTGGGGTCTCCTTCCGACAGGCCGACATCACGACACACACACACACACACGAGTATGGAAACTAAAACGTTGCGGCTGATGTGAGCGCCGCTTTTAAGATGAGGCGGCGGATGTGTCCAGGAGTCCCGTCACCCCACGGTGGAGGCAGTGAGCCGGCGTGATGGCGTTGGTGGTTGGTGATTGGTGGTTGGTGCTGGGCTCAGGGCTGGCTCTGGATGCGCCGCCGCAGCTCCTGCGCCTTGTCCCGCAGGTCGGGCCGGCTGTCGGACTGCAGCGTGGACAGGGAGCGCTGCAGCTGCTCCCGGCTCTTGGCGGACATGCAGTCCCACTGCTCGCTCTCTGTTCACAACACACACACACACGGGCAAGGACAGCCGGTCAAAGGTCGGTTTAACCTGTGTACGCGTGGTGATACTGAACCATGTTAGGGTAAAAAAAAAACAAAAAAAAACATGCTATTAGGATTTTAAATCCTAATCTGTGCCAGGAAGGGAGAATTGCTGCTGCTCATTCGCCAACACAAGAACTCAACAGTTGCCAACGATTTCCTTCAGCTGCTTTTTAACTAATCACTGGTGGATGGATTTAAAACAAAAAAAAAACACTCATGCTTGGGCATTGATTCTTACAAAGGGGAATTTCTTTCTTGGAAAAAATGTGCTAGAGGAGCTTTATCAAAAGGGATTACTGCCATTTTGTTTCCAATAATACACTTATTTCAGTATTTTTTTGGGTTAGACGGCTGGAGAAAAATAGACAGAACCGTAAAGTAAAAAGGAGCTAACGTGGATGCTTTTAGTGCCGAAAGCGATGCGGGAAATGCTGCGCGAGGAAGGAAACAACCAGACACAGCGTAAAGAGGTCGCATCACAACCTCTTTAACGACAACTTTGAAGACCTACCCGCTGTTCTCTTGACGATCAGATCCACGACCGACAAGGCCTCCGTCCTCACAGAGGAGTAACTTTTGTTTTCTGGTGAGAGAGGACAGACGAATATGAGGGTGAGACACGAGAACGCTTTGAAACGATGGTCGCACGCGCGGGCAGATGGCTCGAGTTGGTACCTAAAGGATATGTCAGGGCGGCACAGGTCTCTGTGAGAATCTGTGACAGTGCATTCACATCTTCATTCCCCTTTTCTAGCAGCAACAACCTGCAAAGAAAAAAGATTGCATCGGTTTACTGGCAAATTAAAAACAGGACAAAATACTACTTGGGCTTTTCTTTTTCTTCTCCCCTTGAGTGATGCTTACCCCTCAAAATAGGGCTTCATGGCCTGTAGGACAGCGAGCTGGACTTTCCACGTGCTCAGTTGGAGCTTCCCAGACATCAAGCCGCACACCTCCACCTGGAAATGAGCTACGGAGACACAGTTTGTGGAACACTGGTGAGAATGTGAGCCAAATCGCAACTTTATAACTTTACCAAAGGGGAAGCACAAAAGCTCACCCTGAGTCTGAGGGTTTCGGGGCCAGGACTTTCCCAGAGTCTCAAAAGCACAAAGCAGAGCCTCGGTCTGCAGCTCCTTCTCTTTTGTGGTCTTGTCGTCGTCGTCATCGTCGCGCAGGGACCGGGACGCCGCGCCGCCGCTCTCTGGGCAGCTCTGCCAGGAAAAGGATTCACGTGAGGGTTTTATTTTACCCCATCGCATGACAGTAAAACATCCCAGCAAGATCACCAGTGGAGAGAGGTCTGGGGTCTTAATATTAGAGGGGAGAGGGGACTAAAATGCCTTAATTAACGGCTTTGCAATTATCCCTTATTAAATGCATTTGATCAAACAGCACTATGATTAAATAATGTTTTTCAATTCAATTCAATTCAACTTGGAATAAAAGGATCATAAAATGAGCCTTTGCTTATGTCTCAAGAACAGTTGAAATAAAGAAAAACTGTGATTATATCTCCCCCGATTATCGCGTTTCATTGGCTGCCTGACGGGAATCGGTTTAAACAGACCACATGCACGTCGGATGTGATGGGTAATGTCTTCCCTTTCAAAAAAAACTTTCAAATCTCTCAAATTCGTTGCAGAATTATGGAAATAAGAACTGTGACTGTGTCATCTGCCACACACAAAAAAAAGGAAAAAAGAAATCAAGATGGTCTCAATGAATTCTGGGCTTCCTGTTTGTGACTGGAAAATGAACTTTAGATGAATTACTGCCACCTATTGGCCTGGAGAGCAAGGAGAACGGTACAATTAAAGGGGCTTTTACCCCCCCCCTTTTTTTTTTTTTTTAAAACATGCTTTCACTGCAGTTAATTAATCTAATTGAACGTGTCTCAGTCTCAGAATTTTTTTTTGTTTTGTGAAAAGACACTTTTTAATCGCACCTTCTTGATCAAGGGGAAGAGGATCTCGGCCATGTCGCTGAACCGGTCCTCTTTGCTGCTGCTGAGCACGTCTCCTGCGCAGCGCAGGGCGGCGATTTTGTAGGTCAGATTTTCTTTGCGGCATTCCTTCAGCACGACGTCCAGCACCTCAGGCACGGTCGGCTGTCCGCCGCACGGCTTCTGCAGCTCGGAGCTGAAGATCAGAGCAGGGATGGGAGGAAAAAGTGGGGAAGAAAAAAATATATTGAAAAAGAATCCCGAGGTGGTGGGGGGGGCTCTTTTAAAATAAACAGGTCATCGGCAGGAAGCGGTGTCAGCGCGGGCGGCCCACCTGCACTTGGACACCACCGATCCGATGGCTTTTAACAGCTCCTCCTGGAACAATAACAAACAAAAACACAAATTAATCAGATTCCTCGCCGCGTTTGATCAAACCGCCACCACAATCGTCACCTTGCCGGCCCACGTGCGTCCAGACAAGCCCTGCATCAAAGCCGTCAGCACCAGGCCCAGGTGCGGCGCCACCAGGGAGCCTGTTTGTTCCTTGGCGACGGTTGCCATGGCAGCTGCGCCCTGTGCCTTCATCTTCCAGGACTGGGACTGCAGGGCTTTTTGGGTGATGCTGATCAGCTCCGTCATGTAGAGGCGGATGCCCCCGAAGCTTCCTGAGCCCAGAGAAAAAGTTGGAGGCTTGAGGGTCAAAATCCCTGGACGATTTGTGGCTTTTCTTCTTTGTGCGTTCCTCACCTGGAACGTTCTCCTGCCACACCTCGGCCCACAGCGTGGCGTCGTGGCTTTCCCCCTTCTCCTCGTCCGGACCCGCCGCCTGGTGCATGCCGAGGAAGGCCAGCGGCAGCGCCACTCCGGCGTGTCCCTTCAGCACGTCGGGGCTGTAGTGACTGATGGCGTGCAAGGTCAGCGCACAGGACGACTTGTAAACGGGTTCTGGGAGGGCGAGACGACGAAAAAAACCAAACAAAAAACAAGCCTTTAAATTGCCGCAAACCGATACGACTCCAAAGTTTTGAAATCTTCCACCGGCTCACCCTCTTTCTCCAAGTACCAGCTGCTGAGCTTCAGTAGTAGTTTCTCTACACTGCTGTCTTTGGCCGTCTGATCGGGAGGCCAAACGTTCGCACGGTCAGTTATTTACCAAAGAATGCGGAGAAAAAAAAAAAAAAAAGAGTAATTCGAGGTGAAAGCGGTTGCTCACCCGGACGAGGTGTCCCAAAGCAAAGGCAAATGCTTTCTGCACCACGGTGCTTCTGTCATGGATGCCGGTCAGCAGGGCACTCATCAGTTTACCTGGAGGGGGAGGAGGAGGGGGGGCAGGGTTAGCTGGGTTTCAGCAACAGTTAAGAACCAAAGATGGAAACTGGTGCTGCACCTGAGTATGGGCTGAGGTCCTGGGGACACTGCACTGTGAGGGAAACTATGACACTCGCACAGCCTCCCTGAAAACGAGAGTCAGGAATGAAAACTTTAAAACGGAACTGCGAGGATCGGGGGAAAAAATGGGGGCGGGGGGGAGTTTGCGTGAGCTCAAATCAAAGAAACGTGTCCACATCTGGCATACCTTGGTGCCCAGTCCTATTCCGCTCTTGAGCAGCTCACATAGGCGGGGAACCAGCTCTCCCAGCACAGAAACATCAAGATGCTGCAAACACTAAAAATACACACACACACACACACAAGACCATTAAAACTGATCACTTTGGCTTTTAGGATATTTGGTGAAAACAGAATGCTTCTTTTACTTCCTGTAGATTCTAAAAACCCACAAAAAAGGGTAATTAAACACTTTTAGGAATTCGGTTTGTGTTACCATGTTGATTGTCTCCATCATCGGAGACGACTTGGCGGCGCTCAGCCGGGCGGCGTCCATGGCGCTCTGCGGGGAGCAAAGAGAGCACGGCTCAGAATTAAACTAGGCTTCCTTCGTAGATGGGGAAAAAATAAATAAATAAAAACTTACCTTCTCCTGCTCTGTGGCTCTGAGGCTGAGGTAGTTGAGGACCTGGGGCTCCAGTGTGCTGAGGGCCTCCAACAGGGCTGGGATCAAGCGGGAAGCGTGAGGCTTTAGTCTGGCGCCGGCGGTCTTGCTGATCTTCACCAGGGTCTGGATACTGGTGAGAGCAACACAAAACCAGAACCTGAGCGGATGGGGTGACGAACGAAGCCCCTCTGCAGCTGCATTATTCTACTCATTATTCTACTCAATTCAAAGGGGAAATTTCCTTTAATGCAGCCGCAACATCATAATAAATACATGTCATAAACAACAAAAATAACAATAATAATGACTAATAACAACAACAATAACTCTAAAAATCATTATAATACAGTGATTCTTTGACTTTTATATGACAAAGAATCTAAATTTGTAAACATGGCATTTAATCACTAATAAAGCCTTATGTACATCATTTTCAGCACAAGCTGGGAAAAACAGCAACACTTCCAATAAAAAAGCAGACATGGAGACTATGGAGGGAGATCTCACCTGAGAGAGCGAACCTCCGACACGCTGCTGACGATGCCTTTTTCCAGCAGAGTGGGCAACACCACCGCCACCGCTCTCTGGGCTGCAGCGCCCGTGGACTCGCACATGCGAATACACACCTACGCACGGAGAGTCGTGTGAGGGGGACCGGGACCGCACGCAAACGGAGGCAGGCGTGGCGGCGGACGGCTGTTACCTTACTGAGCGTCTTCAGGGTTAAATCTGCAGCCTTTCTCACAGACTCCTGGAAAGAAAACGAGGGGGGGGGAGTGTAATCATTGAATATTGGAGCAAAGATTTGTTGATAAGTTTGACTTAACAGCAGATCCTGAAGATGACTTATAATCTGTTGCCGTAAACCAATGGATAAATTCTGTTGCTTTGTAAATCCAAAATTATTATAAGGGAAGGTTAGCCATAGTTTTTTTTATGTTTGCTCCTTTTTAAAGAAAGAATAAAAAAATTGTGTTCATGTTTCAATACATGTACTGTGTGTTTACCACCACAATACTGATATACAGCTGTAAAGGTTTTTTACTTTCAATTAAATATATTATATTAATATATTAATATATATATAT